AAATGAAATCTTCTCATTGCAGCTAATACTCAAGCTTTAGCCACAAATCCATCTTCTTTTATTCACTTGCCTTCTGTGCCATTTCAATTTCAGAAAGCTTCCACATCCCCATTGTAAAAAAACCCCAAAGTTTTAGAAATGCTACAAGCTTATGGTGCATTTGTTAATATAGGTGCGATATAAACAATGGATTTAATGATCTTGCAGAGGAAGAGCCCATTTTATACATAATCATGTTTTAATGGACTCTGTTTGCAAACTGATGAACCCATAAGAGAGTGTGACTGCAACTTTTTCAATCAACACAGCACTGCCTGGATGACATAGATGTTTGAAGTACACTACAATCATCACCAATTTCATTAAAGGTAACTCCATCCATAATCCCCAGCACTGATTCTGGCAAATTTCCCCATAGATTTCATGGAAAAGTTTAACCAAGTAGAGATGACAATATCAAGAGCTGTTCTAGTGTGTTTAATGTGGGCTTGCCCTGAACACCATTTACAAATTATGCAGCTAAAAGCCATGGCAAAAGGCACTTGGCGTTCAGATTTTATCTACTATACAAGTCAGCTGAAACAATCAAATTTCTAATTATCTCATTCCAACCTATTTGATTAAGACATCTAATAACTGTACTTCATATGCTGGATAATGATTTTTAAAAGAATTTGGCTGAGCTCAATAGGTCACATTGACCCCTTTATTATAATTTTGTCCCAAATGATGATTAAAATCCCAGATAGATGTTAACTTTTTTTCTCCCCAAGTCCAGGAAGGCCTAACCCACGCAGCTTCAGCTCAGCACACACCCATGGTGCTGGGGGGTGTAATTTTGAAGTATCTGAAGGGCAGAGGTTGCAGCTGCTTGCAACATCCCCCTCCATCCTGCCCACATCCACTCACAATCCTCTGCATCTCACCCCCCATTCCTCCATCCTTCCCACATTCCCCCACAGCATCCCCCCCAATCATCCCTGTATCCCCCCCCACACACACCACTGCAGCCCTGCATCTTCCCTCACAACCCTCCACATCCCTCAATAGCCCCCCTTCCACCCCACATACCCACTTCCTTCCTGCAGTTCCACTCCTCTATCCTCCTCACTCCGTATCACCCTGCACACACCCTTGGATCCTCCTTCACCCCCGTCCATGCTTCCCATGTCCCTTCACAACCCCCCACATCTCACCCCTACTTCTCCACCCTCTCCACATCCTCACCCATCATCTCTGCATCCCCATAAACACCCCCCTGCATCCTACATCCCCCCTTGATATTCTGTTCCCATCCACCCACACATCCTCCCTCCATCCCCATATTCCCCCATTCACTCCACATTCCCCTGAACACACCCTTCCATCTTTCCCATACCCTCTCAAAGCCCCCTGCTTCCTCCTCACACCTCTCTGCATGCCTCGATATTCCCCCCATCTCCCCATGTCTTCTCACATCCCACTCACCCCCTCCCTGCATCCCCACTCCTCCTCACATCCCTCCATATCCCCCACATTCCCTGACACACCCCGTTCCTCCTATCACAACCCTCCACATCACCCCATGTTCCCTGTCCATCTCCATCCTCCCACACCTCCCTCCATTCTCTGAAGCCCCCATTAAGGCTGTACTTCAGAGTGGGGTTGGTGGCCATGCCTACCAGGCATTGCCCTAGGGCCAATTTTTGCTTTCAGAAGGACACAGCAGATCTCCACTCACCTCACAGGTGTGGAGCAGAGAATCCAGGCAAGGTCCCTGCCCCATCAAGAAGCAGGCCACCACTCCCAAAACCAGCTCTGTGTCCAGACTGCTCCTGCCAGAGCAAGCACTCCTGCTTTTTTTCCTCACTATACACCACGTCATTAATCTTAAAAACCTTTGGCTCCACAAAGCTATTTTTAAATTGACATTGATGAAACAGCAGAACCTTTCTCAGGTTTCCCCGAGATGCTTCATAAAAAGGGAATTTAGGATGTTTCAACTGAAAACTCACCTAAATGGATTTTGCTACAAAAACCATCAGAACTTTGCCCATTAACTGTGACCCAATTAGCATTCAAACATGGGAAGGACCCACTTTCAGTGCTGCTTTTCCAGCCTTCAACCTACTTCCTTCTACTTTATTTACAGAGAAAACACATCCTGTTTTACCTATAGGGGTATGATTAAAATGGCAGAGCTCCCCAACATGGATGCATTTCTGCCAAAACAAGTGTGCCGCAGCAATACAGCTTATTTATATACAGAAAAGAGAATAAAGATCAGGTGTATTAGCTGCATTTTACTAGCTCAAGTTCTACAGCTCCAGCAAATGGCCCTTGGAACAAGGGACAGCTTTTGGGAAGCTGCATAGAGAGGGATCATTCCTGCAGGCAGGGCAGAACTCTGAGGAGAAACCACAGCACTGGACAAAATACATCCAGATCTTCCCCACAGCTCATGTCAGACATCTCGCAGCATGTGGGCTGGCACAGCTCTCCTGCTGAGGAGCTGTGAACATGGGCCCAGCACAGCCTAACAGTGTCCAAGCAATAATTACATTATTGCTGTAATTAGAAAATTGCACTGCACTAACAAAAAATTATCCCTGGCCATCAACCCCATATTCTGGTGAGGCCTGCCATGATTCCTCCTAGTCACTCACTGGCCAGGGAAGGCAACTAACCTGGTTGAGGCAAGTCTCAAAGTCCTGTTTTTAAATGCACCCACATGGTCACACACTGTATGGGAAGGGCTGTCACTAATAGTTGGTGGCACCTGCCCTTGCTTTTCAAGTGGAGGTGACACCTCACTGGGACCCCTCTGCTCCCAGCTGCTGTCATGGAGGAGCAACACCCCACCAGACAGGCCAGCAATGGGGGAAATTAAACTTCAATGGAAAATACTACAGAAACTCATTAAGAGTTGTACTTGCAACAACAACAATTATTTTCAAGGAAAAAAACAAACCACCCCGAACCCGGTACGTTCTCAGTTACTTTCAGTTACTTCTCACAGACTTCTCACGTGATGAAGAGAACTCTGGTTCTATCAGCACCTCAGCTTCGCACACACTCCAAGGCCAAGGCTCGTCATTAAAGTCCTCATAACCAACACATGTCTCCAGGAGAGCATCCCCTGACACGGAGCGCGTTACCGGGAGGTCACGGTGCACTGCTGGGGGTGCAGTGTTGGCATTCCCAACGTGTTGACACGCCCAAAGATTCTCCTACCGCTTTCCCTGCAAGCAGGGAGAGCGCGATGTCTGCGCTGGCGCGGAGCTCCGGCGGGACGCTACAACCCCGCCCGGTTTTATTCTGCTGTAGGAAAACGCCAAAGCAGGAGATGCAAAAACATGATGGAGAGCACGGGTGGACTTCAGCCTGCCGGGCCCCGCGGCCAGCCCCGCGCAGCAGGTGGAGGATAGGAAAATATTCCTTAAATAAGGAATTCTTATTTCCTTAAAGAAGGAAAATAACTTTCCTTATTTAACGCATTTATGGTCTGCGAAAAATAACCACTTATTAGACACTAACGTTCTATCGTAAGCACGACAGTACTAACAGCAGCCGAGCTGCGTGCACATTTCCGTCTACCCCTGGTGATCGACGCACCTTGTCTATGCTGCTGCTAATTTAGACTAATCCGCCAGTGAATCTACCTTTTAATTACAAACGGCTGCTGTTCTCCCGTGCCTCAGAGCCGTCACCCTGCAGCCGGCCCAGCGCAGCAGCCAGAGGAAGAAACGAAGGGACGAAGCGAATTCCCGCTGTGCCCGGCCCGTACCCTGGGACCCGCCCCGGCTCTGCCTGGCCCCTCCGCCCGCCGCCTTAATCCCCAGGTCAAATACAACATTTCAAAATAATTGCTTGCTTAAATAAATGTAATTTCGGTGTAAGAATATGATTTTGCTTCCTGTTAACTCAGGAATAGCCATATCCCATGCTTGCAAACACTCCATCGCTCATCCCAGTAGTTTATTTAACCACCGCCAGGCAACCCCCGAGCCGGCGCAGGGCGACCCACGGGCCCTACGCTCAACTTTCTCACCTCCCTGCAGCGGCTCCAGAACCCTTGGAGCGTGGCAGAACGAGGAAAACTAGGAACAACCGCGTCAGAACGGAGTGATTTCACCTCTGCGCCTGCCGAAGGCTTCCCCAGTGGCTGGCTGTGCTTAATTAAAGCTCCTCAGTGCCGTCGGACAGGCTGCATCCCCGCCGAGACGCTGTCCTCGTGCCGGCAGCGGGTTACGGACGGCCCCGCTCCCCGAGGCCGAGAGCCCCTCGCTGCTGATCCACCCGGCTTTTACGGCACCCCAGGGGGCAACCGCCGGGGCCGGGTGGAGGGGGACGGGAAGCGGCCCCGGCGGGGCGGAAGGCACCGACAAGCCCACAGCCTGCGGCTGCTAATTACCACCGTTAATTTGGAAGGCCCGCCTAATTAGTGTCTCCGCAATTAGGGCCTCAGCCTGGGCCCCCGGCCCTGCCCAGGGCCGCCCCGCCGCACAGCCCCGCACAGCCCCGCACAAACGCTGCGTCGGCCCCGCTGCCCTTCCTTCCTCCGCTGCCTCCCGCCGCTCCCGGCCGTGCTTCTGTCTTTTCACAGGACGGCGGTAATTGCACGTCTCAGTAGATACGCTATAATTTGGTATCTCGATGGAGAAAATATAGCAGGGACTCGAGGAAAATAAAAAAGCAAAACAAAACAAAATCTACGACAAAGCAAAACCAAAAAAAAGCAAAGAGCCAGGGTTTCGTGCTCCGTCTCAGTCGCTCACAACCCAGGGAGGCAGGGCTGGGCTGTCCCCGCCGCCGGGCCATTCTCCCTAGGCTCTAAGAAGCAGGATCGGCCGGGGACCGGCGCGGAGTTTCAAGCTGCAGATGTTGGAATTATTTGCTGCGGCCGCTCCCCGCCGTGTGCCGTCGGAGCTCCTGATGCGCCCTGCCCCAACCGCGTTTTTTAAAAAAACACCATTTAGGATGTGCAGCGCAGAATCTAATCAACTTGTTTTAACGGCAATTCACGTATCTTTAAAACGCGAGAGCACCGACACCTCCCCGAACAAAGTCTGCGGGTCTTGCTTTTCCCGGACCCTGAGGAAAATAAGAGAATCCGCCTGGTACCGGCCAGGACAGCACCGCGCTTCGGTCTGTCCTCGTAGATCCGCCAGAGACCTCGGATTTGAATCTCTAACTTGCCTCCTCCTAAAAAAAAACACAAACCCAAAACCAAAACAAAAAACACATTACATTAAACAGAGCAATAGCTCATAAAATACTTTATTGAAATAAAGTAAATATCTTCGCATTAATAAAACTGATCATAAAATGCAGTTTTCGAATAACTAGGGGCACCACAGGGTTTGAAACAGAGAGTAGATGTGAAATACGGGATCCAGTGTCCTCCCGGCCCCTCCGGGCCTCGCACAACACAAAGCGTCCATAGCGTGGCGCGCACAGGAGCTGAGGGGTGGGGGAGGACGGGAACAGCACCGACCAAGACACCCAAATTCACCGGACACCGAAGGCGACTGTGGCCACTAACCGTGCTGGCCCCGTCCTCGCCGCCCCTCCCCGGGTGGAGGATGCGGGATCGGCGGCCGGGCG